ACAAGATCGCTCCGTCTCAGGTCGCTGCTCATGTTCAGTCATTCCACATCAACCCAGTCAGTCCCCATCAGTCCCCATCACCCCAATCAGTCTCCATCTTCCCAATCAGTCCAATTAACGCCAATCAACCGAATCAGTCCCCATCAGTCCAATCCGACCCATCAGTCCAATCAGTCCCTCCCTGCCCGCTCGGCCAGGATTCGAATCCCGATATTGTTCGCCGTGCTGGGTAGTGGTGGGTGGTTCTTTCCCTTGGAAAACAACCCCGCGTGGGCTACCCTACACGGGGGAGGTTTTCGGAGCCTGTTCGTGCAAGGCACGTAGTACAAGGTTTTCCGTAGGTTGTCTCTCGGTTTTCTTCAGGTTGTTTTTCGGTTTTCCTAGGTTGTCCTTACGTTTTCCTTAGGCAGTCGCGCGTTTTCCTTAGGATGGATAAATCGAGGATGAAGTTTCTCACGGTCCTCGTGGGTTCCCTCCTTCCCCGTGGGGCCCGAGTTCCACACGGAAAATAATATGTTCCATTATTGTTGGGGTCCCAGTCCGTCAATAAGCCCGCGGGACAACCATATATTTGCGCACTATTGGGGGGGGTGTCAAAAGACCCTGTGGGGTTACGGTCCCCGGATCCCCCCTCGCTTCCTCGAGGTCGGGCACTCAAACGACGGCTTCGGGCCGAAGCCGTCGTTCGAGTGCCCGCACGGCCCTCGCGGGCTGCTGCGGGGCGCTCCGCGCTCCAAGTTTTTGCGAGACGCTGCTCGGAGCGAGACATGCCAGAACGAGGAGGAGGAGGAGGAGGAGGAGGAGGAAGAGGAGAAATAACAGGATAATGAGGAGGAAGGAGGAGCAGGAGGAGGAGGAGGAGGAGGAGGAGGAGGAGGGCAAGCAAAAGGGCCAGAGGTCTCTTGGATACCTCTCGGCGCCTCTTGGGATATCTTGCGCGCTTCTCGGTGGCCTCTTGGGACGTATTGTAGGTCTCTTGGCTGTCCTGGGGGGCTCTTGGGCGTCTTGGGTGCGTCGGGGGCCAGGAGAGGGGGCAGGGGGAGAGGCAAACCTCTCCCCGAATGTGAGGAAGGGGGGTGGAAGGGGGAACGCCCCAAAGGGCTGGTGGGATTTGTTCGCGCTCGGGGGGGCCTCGCCAGGCCCCAGAAACGTCAAGAAACGACCCAGGATGAAGAACCGGCCCGGGAAAGGGGTCGGGAGTGCCGGGGACGCCGCATTGAAAAATCAGGACATCGCACGTCTGGGCCTGGACCCGTCCCTCAGGTCTGGCAGCGCAGAAAGTGGGCGACGCGAGTTTTTCATGGTTTCCCTGCTTCGTGATGCCTTTGCAGGGCTCCAACAGAGATGGCGCAGGATGAACATCGGGGCCCAGGGGAAGTGATTCTCGTTGGTTGCCCTTCTGAGAAGCAGTTCCAGAGAAGGCTGATGACAGTCCACGGCAGTTGAAGTTTGAAGCCATCAGGTCATCCCGCCATGCTTGGCGCAATCTGTTCAGCGTGTCGAGCTGGGCTCCGCAATTCTCTCCTGGGCGAGTTCTGGGCTGAGAGTCGGTCGCAGAAGCAGAAGTATAATACGGACAACAATAATAATAATCATAATAAGAATCATAATAATAATCATAATAATAATCATAATAATAGTAATTAATGCGAAGGCCTTACGGCCGTTGCCGCCGACCCTGAGAACGACGAAGATGAAAACGAGGGGTGGGGCAGGGTGGAGGAGGTGGATGAGGGAGAAGGATGTGGAGGAGGAGCAAGAGGAGGAGAAGGAGGCAGAGGAGAGCAGGAGGAGGGGGAGCAGAGGGGGGGGGAGGAGGAGGAGGAGGAGGAGGAGGAGGAGGAGGAGGAGGAGGAGGAGGAGGAGGAGGAGGAGGAGGAGGGAGGAGGCCAGAGGCCTTCTTGGGACAGCCTGTGGCTCTCCTGAGGACGTCTTGGGCCGTCCAGGGCTCTTGCGCCGTCTCGAGGCACTCTTGGAGGCCTCCTGGGGCTCTCCTGGGGTGACTTGGGTCAGTTTGGCGGCCCCTTGGGAGCCTCTTGGGGCCTCTTGGGGCTTCTTCGGGGCCTCTTGGGGGCCTCTTGGGGCTGAGAGCTCTAGATGTCCGGTCGGGTCCCCCGTCTGGGCGCTCTCTTGGAACCGTTTTGGGGGCTTTTTGTGAATTTGGGAGGCGTCTTGGGCTGTCTTGGATCACTTTTGGGCCGTTTGGGGACCCTCTTGGAGGCCTCTTGGGCCGTGTCGGGGCGATCTTGGGAGCCTCTTGGGCCGTCTTGGCGCGTGGGGAAGCGGAAGAGGCGAGAACGTCAAAATCCTTGGAAAACGCATGGGAAATCTGTGCCTCTTGGGGCTCTCGTGGGAAGGGTCCTGGAGGCCTTTTGGGCCGTCTCGCAGGTCTTTTGGGCCGTCTGGAGGCCGTCAAGGCGTCTTGGACAGATCATTCGGCGATTCGGCGCCCTCTTGGATCGTCTTGGGGGCCTCTTGGGGCACTTTTGGCCCGTCTTAGGCTTTTTTGGGCACCGGGCTTCCCCGGGGAGGCGGGGTAAAAACCCGGGACCCCCCCCGGGACCCCCCCCCCCTGGCGGGGAAGGGATCAAAGGGAAGCGGTTTCCTTTCGACTCAATTACGACGTTGCTCAATTTCGCTTTGGACTGGCACACTTCAGGAGGAGGCCCTGGGGGAGGGGTAGAAGCAACGACGCTGTGAGGAAAGGAGCAGACGGAGAAGCCTCTTCCACACGCCGACAGGGTCGGCGGCTTTTAATATCAATAATAATAATAACAATAAGAATCGTAATATTAATACGAATACTAATACGAATCAGAATAGTAAGAAGAAGATTAATAAGAAAAATAAGAAGTAGTCGAAGCCCTAGAAGCCGCCGTCACGAGCAAGCTGCAACGCCCGAGGAGCGCGTTCCTACAGGTCTCGCCGTGCGTCTTCACCCAGTGTTCGGCCCTGGGGGGCCCCTCGGAGCGGTCCACCTCGAGAACCGCCGCAGCGGTAAGCGGTCTAGCGCTCTCGCTGGGGGCTTTTGCCAACAGAAGAACTGCAGCGTCGGACGGGAGGAGGCGGAGGAGGAGGAGGAGGAGGAGGAGGAGGAGGAGGAGGAGGAGGAGGAGGAGGAGAGGGTTGGTCGCAGGAAAATATCGCGGCGGCGGGCGTTCTCCTCGGCCTCGGCTCCTGGGGGCCCGCCTCGGGCCCTTTGGGGCCCAGGCTTTCCCAAGAATGGCCCCCGGAGTGAACACACGAGTCCTCAGGGTGGGCGAGCTGGGGTCCACAGGGCCGTAGGCCCGCGCCACCACGAATCAGAGGCAGTAGCGGGGAGTGGGGATTCCCCACGGCATGTCCCAGCGGCGATCCGCGGGCAACCCGTCCTCCTCCGCCTCCTCCTCCTCTTCCTCGTCGTTCGCGTCCTCCTCCTCGTCCCCCTCCTCCTCGTCCTCCTCCTCCTCCACCTCCTCCTCAGCCTCGTCTCCCCCTCCTCCTCCTCCCTCCTCCTCCTCCCTCCTCCTCCTCCTCCTGCCCCTACTCCTCCTTCTCCTCATCTTCTTTCTCATCCTCCAAGCCCTCACTCTTCCTATCATGCTATCAAGTTCCCTGCTCCACCGGCACCTGCTCTTGCAACCCCTTGAAAAACGACCACCCTTGCATCCACCTCCCCATCGTCGTCGTCGTCGTCCTCCTCCTGGCCGCCCTGCCAATCCTCATCTTCCCGCTCCCTCTCGTCCTCCTCTTCCTCTCCATCCTCCTCTTCCTCTCCATCCTCCTCTTCCTCGTGTCCCTGCACCTCCTGCTCGTCGGGCGGTTGTGCCCGCGGGCGGGTTGAAATGTGCCGCCTGGTTGCGGTGGCGGTTGCGGTTACGCCCGTGGGCGGATTGAAATGTGTCGTGTGGTCGCGGTTGCGGTTGCGGTTGCGCTCGCGGGCGGGTTGACATTTGTCGTTTGGTTGCGGTTGCGGTTGCAGTTGCGCCCGCGGGCGGATTGAAATGTGTTGTTTGGTTGCGGTTGCGCCCGCGGGCGGATTGAAATGTGTCGTTTTGTTGTGGTTTTGGTTGCGCCCGCGGGCGGGTTGAGATGTGTCGTTTGGTTGCGATTGCGGTTGCGCCCGCGGGCGGGTTGGCATGTGTCGCTTGGTGTCGGTTGCGGTTGTGGTTGTGCCTGCGGACGGGTTGGACATGTTGTTCGGTTGCGGTTGCATGCGTCCGCGGGCGGATTGAGATGTGTCGTGTGGTTGCGGTTGCGGTTGCGCCCGCGGTCAGGTTCAAACGTGTCGCTTGGTTGCGGTTGCGGTTGTGCCCGCGGGCGGGTTGAAATGTATCGTTGGGTGGCGGTTGCGGTTGCGCCCACGGACGGGTTGCAATGTATCGTTTGCTTGCGGTTGCGTGCCCGCGGGCGGGTTGCAATGTATCGTTTTGTTGCCCTTGCGGTTGCGCCCGCGGGCAGGTCAATATGTGTCGCCTGGTTGCGGTTGCGGGTGCGCCCGGGCGGGTCGAAATGTGTTGTCAAAAGTGCCCCCAAAGTCCAGTCAGCTCATTGCAGTTCAGAGCGGCTCAGCGCAGCTCACTTCCGCTCCGCTGGTCAGCCAGCGGTGCGAACGGAGTTCCACCTGGCGTCGCCGAGAACACACCGTGACGTCGTACGATAGTTAGCTCGTGCCGCGTCGACGCGGCGGCGGCCCAGAATCGGCCGCTACCGAGCGGCACGCGCTTCTGGACAGGCGGGTTCGCCCAAGGTTGAACGACCGAAGCGGTGTCAGAAGCCAGCGCACAAGTCGTCACGATACAAATTTGCCGCACTCGAGTAACAAAAAGCGCGTAAGCATGAATTGTCGGAGGTCCGCGCGGATTTCGTGGATCTGTTCTGGGACCCCTGGGCGGCACCTGCTGAGTCGCCCCTGGCGCGCTCCGCGCGCCAGGGAGGGAAATTCAGCGCAGGTCCAAGAAATCCGCGCGCACCTCCGGAAGCTTGTGCCAGTGCCGCTTGTTGTCCTCCAGCATTCCTAGGTACGAGTGGTGGAACATCGTTCCCAAGAATATTCTGGAACAGTTCCGGCGGACTGCGAACTTCTGGTTCCTCGTCGTCTCCGTGCTGCAGTTGGCGCCCCTGGACCTCTCGCCGACGACCCCGACGGCGACGCTGGTGCCCCTGTGCGCCGTCCTGTTCGCGACGTTCTGCAAGGACGCCTACGAGGACCACAGGTGCGCCGCCGGAGGGTGTCCATACCCACTGCCGCGGGATTGCGTCCTGGGGCCTCGGGCTGCGGCGGAGGTGGACATGTGCCCGTCCGCTCGCGCGGGCAGGTGTCCATGTACGGTAGGTTCGCGTCGTGTCGACCGGTGGCGACCCTGCCGTTGGCGTTAAGGTCGAACGCCGTTGGCGACCTAGCATCGGTCGGTGTTGAACGAGCTTTCGTTTCGGAAGCGGCCGATCGTTCAGGGTTGAACGATCCGCGCGGTGTCAGAAGCCAGATCACCGCCAGATTTAAGTCGGGCATGTCCCTCTGCAGAAGGAATATTGAAAAATAGTGGAGAAATAACCAGGGGACGATTTGTTGAGTATTTTGTTTTAAGTATTTGGGGGTATTTTTGAGTATCCTAGATTTTTCACCCGAAATCCCACTGCAGGGGGACATGCCCGACCTAACGCCAGATCCCAGAGCACTACTCCGAAACACACGCATCGCGGCAGTGGAACAGGCGCGCGAGGGACGACAACAGGCTGAACTGCCAGCTCTGCGACGTACTCGACCAGGACGGGGCTCACTTCGACTCCGACTCACCTGAATCCGACTTCGCGCGATTCCGATCCCGATTCCGATTAGATTCGACTTCGGTTCCCGTTTGAGATTTCGGTTTCTCAATGGAGGCTATACTCGCCGACTTCTCCCGCCTTGGCTGCCTATTTTTGTCGATCCAATTCGTTTCGATCGCCGACCCGACTTATCGATTCGATTCTCGGCTCCCTTGTCAGGACGGCGAATTCAGGCAGGTCTTCTGGAAGGACCTGACCGTGGGCGAGTACGTGCGTCTGACCCGCGACCAGCCCGTACCCTGCGACATGATCCTGCTCGCGTGCTCTGGCGACGGCGCGGCGGCCTACGTGGACACCGCGCAGCTCGACGGCGAGACCTCGCTGAAGCCGAAGGACCCCCTCGAGGAGACCATGCGCATAAGCCAGGCGGCCGAGCTGCTGGCGCTTGAGGCCAAGAGGAGGAAGAGCTAGACCGCCGCCGCTATTTTTATTATACATATACATGTGTATGCATGTATGTATGTATGCATGTATGTATATAGACATGTATACCTATACGACCACCCTTCGGTTGATCAGGAGGTTCGGGGGGGGAGGAACCAATGTCTCACTCGATCGGTCTCACGAGCGATCTCACTATCGGTCTCGCTCGATCGATCTCACTCGATCGATCTCACAATCGATCTCACTCGATCTATATCATTCGATCGATCTCACAATCGATCTCACGATCGATCTCACTATCGATCTCACAATATATCTCACATTCGGTCTCACTATCGATCTCATTATAGATATCACAATCGATCTCACAATCAACGTCATCATCATCATCAACAAAATCATCGTCATCAACGTCATCAACATCATCACCATCATCATCATCATTATCATCATCGGGGCACCATCATCATCATCATCACCTCTTCACCATCATCATGAACATCATCACCATCATCATCACCATCGGGACACTATCATCATCGTCACCATCATCGTCATCATCAACAACATCATCATCGGGACACCATCATCATCATCATCATCGGACCACCACCATCATCACCATCATCATTATGAACAACATCGTCAACATCATCATCATCATCATCATCATCATCATCGAGGGGGCACTTTCCGAGGCCGTCGCCACAGCGCGCGACGCCCAGTCTAAGCTCGGCAATGCCTTGGCTGCGTACGGATACAAGCAAAACACGTCGAAACAAGTTTTGGTCCCCCGCCTTTGTGGCTACAAGGCCACCCGCCAGTTTTACGCGGCGGAGGTCGGAGGGGCCCGCGTTGCCCCGCACACCAGGTACTTGGGACCGCAGTTTTTGCCCTCTGGCGTTTTTTCTCATCAGCTTGCATTAAGTAGCGGCCAACAGGGGGTGGATGTCTTTCAAGTATTTGTGGACCTCGGGGGCTCCGTTTAAGGTGAAGAGGCTCGTATCCATATCCGTGTTTCAAGGTGCGCTACTGTTTGGACTTACACCGTATCTCCTCACGAGCTCTCAAGAGGCTCAGTTGGACATCGCGCTCTTGGGCAAAATCCGATGTATTGCCGCGGGGGCTTTGTGTGACCGATCTGGCGACCATCCCATCGTTAAGGACTCTCGGGCCGTCTGGAAGTGGATGAATATTGTCCCGCCGGGGGTCGAGTTGTTGATACAGGGACTTCGATGGTGCCAGGCCATGGTCAAATGGCCCGAAGAACATTCCCAGGTCATCAGCCTCCTCTTCGGTCGCCTCGGCTTCGAGAATGCCCCCACCTTGTCCGAGGGCCGCCTCACCGTTCACGCCAACCCGTTCGCCGTTCGTTTCGTGACTGACGTTTACAGGCTCGAGCTTCTAACTGATTATGAAGACTGGCGCTCCGTCTGGGGCGAGGACACCCATGCGCTCTTCCATGACGACTACATATCGCATCAGTTTCTTGCTGCTGATGTTTCTGCTTTGCGCAAGATCTGGCAGAGCGGCAAGACTGAGCTGGACACTATCGACTTCGGAGGCTTCCACCTCGCCACACAGGATGGGATTGAGGACTTCTTGGGCCCCTCTGGCTGCGTGCACGTTTGCAGATGCACTACAGAAGATGGAAACGTCTGTGGCGCCCGCTTCTTCACTCATGCTGCTCTCGTCGCACACCAAACCCACACCCAGGGCGGCTCCCATGGCAACTTCTCCTACTATGCCAGATGTGTCGTCACGAACCAGTGTCCAGCGTGTCGTACTTCCTTTGCGTTTCAGAAGACCGCGAAAGCTCATCTCTGCCGGGCCTTTCGTCGGGGAGTATGTGATATTCACAGCGCGCATGCCCTACATCCTGTGGTCGTGCCCAAGCTTGTCTGCCCCGTGTGCGCCGCGTCTTCGCACTCCGATTTGGCTCAGCTCCAGGATCACATTTGCGAGCGGTACTTGCCTTTCTTACCTGAGCGACGGGCTGGCGATGGCGAGCCCCAGCCCAAGTGGACGCTGGAGAAGCGGCCGCCAGGCGCTGCAGAGGCAGAGGGCGCCCCCGCGCAGGCCAAGGCCAAGGGCGGCCCTCCTCAGAAGGACAAGGGCGGCAAGAGCTCCAACCCCAACCCAGACACCGCCTCCGACGCGGCCGCGGCCAACGGGCCCAACAGCAAGCAGCAGCGCAATCGGCACCTCGGTCAGATCAAAGACATGGGCTTCACCAAGAAGCAGGCCAACTTCATCAACGTGCTGGTGAAGCAGACGCTCATGACGACCCAGATGGTGCGCGAGCTCTGGGCAGCGGGAGTGGACACGTACTTCCTGACCGCCGACCTGCCAGAGATCGAGGCCGCGCAGGAGGCAGGGGCGACGTATTCACACGAAGTCCGAGCCCGAGGCAAAGGCCACCAGCTAGGTCCACCTCACCTTCATATCTTCAATGGGTTCGTGACCAAGTTGCTCGAGCGTGGGCTCGCGCTGGGGCAGAGGACTCACGCGATGCTCAAAGATTGGCACGGCAGAGTGCGGTGCGAGCTTCAGCCTCACGACCTGCACGACATGGTGCGCCTGTTTCGGGCCACGAAGTGCCACGATCAGAACAAGAGGAAACTCCACCTGATGATGAGGGACGTCCCGCAGCCGAGCGCACCGCCCGAATCAGACGAGCAGCCGCTGCCTTCGCCCTTGATGGTCCGCGGCCTGTTGCAGAAGGCACTAGAGGAGATCGGCGGTCGCAGGGCTCTGGGCGCGGCGCCGCCAGGCGCAATGGAGGAGATATTGCAGAACGCGGTAGACGCAAAAGATCGCAGGGGAGGATGCCGTCGTGCGCATCTCGTTCCATATCCGCAGCGCGGGGCTGGCTCATCTTCAACTTCGGCCTTCTCCCCAAGACGCTGCGCTCCATATCGGATGGCGACCGCGTGATGTGATCCCCCTGATGACGGATCGTCGTTGCCTCTCACCAGTTTCACGCTACCGCGAGGTCCGCCCCCCCTGTTGGCCCATACGTGTAGCGAATATGGCTGACGCCCCTGCTGTCCTTGCTCCCTGGGGTCTGTTCGTGCCTTACGCGTCGGTGCGCGTGACCCTGGGGCCCAGCCCACAGGCCCGTCGGGGCCCGCTGGGCCCCTTCTGAACCACGTGACTTTTTTAAGTCGTCCGACGGGTGCACTCTCAGACATTTTACACGCCTGTGTGTTTCACTTGAAAACCCACGAGTTTAACACGCTTTACATATGCGGGCTTGCCGCGCGCTGTTCAGTCCGCCTCGGCATAGCAGTGACAGGGAGAGATGCGGGCCCAGAGTCGTCTTTCATTCATCATCATCATCATCATCATCATCATCATCATCATCGGGGCACCATGATCATCATCATCGGGACACCATCATCATCGCCACCATCATCATCATCACCATCATCATCATCGGGGAACCATCATCATCAACGCCAGCATAATCATCATCGGGCCACCATCATCAACATCATCATCATCACCTCATCATCGTCATCCTCACCATCAACATCATCATCATCATCGGGACACCATCGCCGTCACCATCATCAACACCATCATCATCGATACATCATCATCACCACCATCATCAGCATCATCATCAGCATCATCAATCTCATCATCATCATGTCATCATTTCATCATCATCAACACTCATCAACATCATCATCATTATCGGGACACCATCATCATCACCACCATGGTTATTCTCATGGTCATCATCATCATCACCATCATCAGTATCATCGGGATACCATCATCGTCACCATCATCATCATCAACACCATCACCATCTGGACACCATGATCATCGGACCACCACCAACATCATCATCTTCATCTCATCATCATCATCATCATGAACAACATCAGGATCATCACCACCATCGGGACACCATCATCGTCATCAGCAGCAACATCATCGTCATCAACATCATCATCGGGACATCATCATCATCGTCGCGATCATCATCACCATCATCATCATCGGGACACCGTCATCATCAACATCAGCACTATTAGCATCGTGCCACCATCAACAAAATCATCATCATCACCTCATCATCATCACCATCAACATCCTCATCGGGGCACCATCATCATCAACATAATCACCATCGGGTCACCATAATCACCTTCACCATCTTCATCAACAGCATCATCATCGACCTCATCATCATCATCATCATCGGGTCACCATCATGATCATCATCATCTTCATCATCATCTTCATCATCAGCAACATCATCATGATCATCAACCTCATCATCATCATCATCATCACCATCATCGCCACGCCATCAGCATCGTCAGCAACGTCAGCATCATCAACACCATCATCATCGGGACATCATCATCATCATCATCACCAAGATGGCCATCATCATCAACATCGTCACCATCATCATCAACATCATCATCATCATCATCATCGGGACACCGACGGGACACCGGCGGGACACCGCGCGCCACCGGGCCCCGGACAGGAAACATTTGGTCCAGCCGCGCCTCAGCCAGAGGCGGGACCCCCGCCCACGCAGATTCGCCTCGCACGCGCGCACGGCACGCACGAACACGAAACCGAAACCGAATTCCCGGTAGGGGGGCTCTCCGTTCCACTTCGATCTGACCACCTCACCTCCGATTTCTTCTAATATATATATATATATATATATATATATATATATATATATATATATATATATATGTATATATATATGTATGTATATATATATATATATATATGGGAGGTTGGGGGGTGAGTCCGACGTAAAACGGTGATCCCCCCTACCGGGAAATCGATTTCGGTTTCTGGTTCGTGTCGTGCGTGCCGTGCGTGCGTGCGTGCGGGCGAGGCAAAGCTGCGTGGGCGTGCGAGAATCCTCCTGTGGCTGGGCCGCGGCCGGACCAAATGTAATTCCTCTGGCGGCCGGTGGCCCGCGGTGGCCCGCCGGTGTCCCGTTGGTGTCCCAAAATCCTCCTGTGGCTGGGCCGCGGACGGACCAACTGATTCTCCTCGGGCGGCCAGTGGCCCGCGGTGTCCCGCTGGTGTCCCGCTGGTGTCCGGTGGTGTCCGCGTTGCTAGGGCGAAGTCAAGACAAATGATTCTCCCCCTCCCGCCCGTCCAGCGGTGGCTCGCGGTGTCCCGCGGTGTCCCGTGGTGTCCCGTGGTGTCCCGTTAAATTAGATCGATAGTCAGATCGACAGTGAGATCGTTACTGAGATTGATACTGAGATCGATGCTGAGATCGATGTGGTGCCCCGAGGTTTCCCGTGGTGTCTGAAAAAGTGAGGTCGCTAGTGAGATCGATAGCGAGATCGACAGGTGTCCCGCGGTGTCCCGTGGTGTCCCATTGAGTGAGATCGATAGTGAGATCGATAGTGAGATCGATGTGGTGTCCCGAGGTGTCCCGATTCCGATGGCCTCCGATTCCGATTCGATTCGACTTCGGATTCCGATTGGGATTTCGAATCCTCAACGGAGGCCTACTAGGCTGCCGATTTCCGCCGATTCGGCTTTTCCCGACTCGGCTGCCGATTTCCGCCGATCCGATTCGTTTAGATCACCGATCCGGCTTATCGATTCGATTCTGGGCTCTCCTGTCCACGAGGGGCACGCGAAGACGGAGCCCCCGAACCAGCTTCTGCAGTCTTTCAGCGGCATGCTGGTGCTGCGCGGCCATCCCAGGCCCGCCGCGGTCGACGCCAGGCACTTCCTGCTGCGGGGCTCCACGCTCCGGAACACGGACTGGGCCTACGGGCTGACCGTCTTCACGGGTCGGAGGCTGCCAGTCAGGAGCGATCGAAGGACGTACACGTACATGAATACACGTTGGTTTCGAGAGCACGCATTTGAAGGGGCCCACAAACACACAAATAAATACACACAAATAAAATAATTCCCCATATTTTCCTATATTTTCTGGGTTTTTGTCTTTCCCCCCACTTCCCATATTTTCCCATATTTTCTGGGGAATCGACGATTAATTGTGTCTGTGTGTTTTTCCCCTCCTGAGCATTGTTGCGCGAACGCTCGTATCACGCGGCCAGACTCGCGGACTTGGGGGACCGTGTTCATGTACGTCCGTCCGCAGTTGGGCGCGCACGTCCTTTTTCCTGCGCTCCCGATAGTCAGAAGTGATCCTGGCCCAGGGTGCCCCCAGGCGAGCGACGGAAGAAGACGAGGTCCACGGCGCCGACATCGGCGCGCAAGCTGCCCGCGTAAGCTCGCGCGCAAGTGCCTTGGTCTCCACTGGAGCGTTCTGCACTGGCGGCCCGCGTAAGCAGCCGCGTAAGGTCGCTACGTCATCTCGCGTAAGGCCCCTATTTGATTGTCGCTCAGAGGAGCGGCGGAAGAGGACGAGACCGACGGCGCCGACCTTCACGCGCGTGAGTTCCCGGCGTGAGTTTCCGCGCGTGAGCCTAAGCGCCCTCTTCTGCCGCGCGGTGTGTTCCACGCTGGCGGCCTGCGTGTGAGCAGCGGCTTGGGGTCGCTACGGTATGCCATCGTGCGTGAGGTCCCCTTTTTCTCGTCGCTTTTTCTGGATGGGGTATTTATCGGGGGGGGTGATTAACCTGCCGACTGAGCTTGCCCAGTATCGCACCCGCCGTCCTCCTCCCCTCCTCATCCTCCTCCTCTTCCTCCAACCCCCCCTCCTCCCATTTCGACAGCACGTGCCCAACCCTCCAGCAGGGCTCATTCCGATTCCTCCGATTCGATTCGATTCGATTTCGACGGCTTCCGGTTTCGATTCGATTCGGCTTGGGATTCCGATTTGGGTTCCGATCTTTTATTGGAGGCATACCAGCATGCCGATTTCTGCCGATTCGACTTTTCCGGACTCGGCTGCCGATTCATGTCGATCCGATTCATATCGATCGCCGATCCGACTCATCGATTTGATTCTGGGTTCCCCTGCCCCAGCGGATCCATGGGGGGCGACTATTGCCCCATCCAGAGTAGATGGTCTCCAGGGATGCCCCTCACGAGGCCAGAGGGCCCAGAAGGGTGCAACCCGGCTCAAGGCGTTGCCAGCACCGTTGGTCAGGATCAGGCCTCTGGCAGCCCTTGACCAGGTCACGACACCAAGCTGGTTCAGAACTTGAAGAGGGCGCCGTCGAAGCGGTCCCGTGCTTAGTCGTTGCTGGAAGTGTTGTTTTACGGTTTCCATGTTCCTCTCCTGGCTCTACCCAAACGTTCTGAACACGTTTTTTTTTTGAATGTGAACGTCAGACAGGCGGCTTTGTGATAACTAGAAGCCAAATGAACACGGATTGGAAACGAAAAAAAATACGAGCAGGTGGGCCGCGCGCCGATCCCGGAGTTGACAACGTAGCAACAGCGGCGCCTAGCACGGAAAGGAAGCGTTGAGCTTGGCAACAAAGAGATTGTAGTGGCCTTCGGCCAGTTCCGCCGATCCGGGTCGCTTGGGGTGCCCCCCCAGACAGGGCGGCGACACTTCTCCGACAGACACGCACGCGCACGCTCGCAGACATTACGCGCACACACGCACACACAGACACGCGCACACACACACACACAGACACACACACACACACACTACACACACCCACAGACATACACACACACACCACACTCACACATCCGCGCCACCTTCGCAGGCACATACACACGCACACGCCAGTAACACACATGCACACACACACACACACACACACCACGCACACCGCACGCACCCACACACACACACACACCACACAACAGACACGCATTCCACCGCCACCTTCGTTGTCCCCCCCCATTTGTTCACCGTTTTCCGCTTTTCTTCCGTTCCACTTCTCTCTCCATTTTTCCCGGATCCCCTTCCTATCGCGCGCGCGGACAAACATTACCCCACGCACACGCGTACATCCACTCCTCCCTTCCTTCCCCGTCAGAGCCACCCTGGCAACCCCCCTAGAGGCTGAAGCTCAGCTTCGAGGCTGTAGGTGAGGCTCCTTCAAACTCACGCGCAACGGAGCCCCCCCCTGTCCCCAATTCCCCCTGTCCACAGGCGGCACGGGGGACCGGACCCTCCCCCCCCCACGCCACCGGGACCAACGCCACCAGACCCCACCCACCCCTCCCCCTACCCGGCAGAGCCACGCCACCGACCGGACGACCCCCCCCTCCCCCCCTCTCCCCGCGCCCCGGCAGAACCACCCCGGTCACCCCCTCACCCTAAACTCACACGCCGGATCGGCGGATTCGCCTCCAGCGTTCCTAATAGTCCCCCCGCCTTTTGAGAAGTTTTTCGCAAGCCCCCCCCGAGGACAGAACACTTCGCTACCGACGAACCCACATATTTATATTATGGCTGAAGCGATGATACCTGAAGTGATGCATGTGAGAATAATGTTGGTGGCCATTCCTTGCGCACCTCCCACGGTGTCGAGAAAATGCCACGCGTGTTGCGCCCTGGACGACCGGTTCGGATAGCGGCCGCGTTCAGAGACCACCACCTTGGGACACTTTAAAGTTACGAGAATATGCCACGCCTGCTCCGCCAGCGTTCTCCTGTGCCCTGAGCACGACCGGCACGGATAGTAAATTTGCGTACCGATATGCCCTGAGCACCACAGTCACGGATAGAGGCCGCGATCAAGGACCACCCCGTGCGCACCCCTTGTGGTGTCGAGAATATGCCATGCCTGCTATGCCGTGGACGACTGTCACGGACAGCAGCGCCCTGGACGACCGGCACGGATAGCGGCCGCGCTCAGGGACCATCCCCTGCGCACCCGCTGTGGTGTCGGGAAAGTGCCACTCCTGCTATGCCCTGGACGACCGGCACGGATAGCGGCCGCGCTCAGGGACCACCCCCTGCGCACCCCGCGATGGTGTCGGAAAACTGCCAATCTTGCTATGCCCTGGACGACCGGCACGGATAGCGGCCGCGCTCAGAGACCACCCTCTGCGCAACGCTGTGGTGTTGGGAAAGTGCCATTCCTGCTATGCCCTAGACGACCAGCACGGATAGCGACCGCGCTCAGGGACCACCCCGTGCGCACCCCCTACGGTGTCGGGAAAGTGCCATTCCTGCGATGAACGACCAGCACGGGTAGCGGCCGCGCTCAGGGACCACCCCCTGCGCACACCTTACGGTGGCGGGAAAGTGCCCTTCCTGCTATGCCCTGGACGATCGGCACGGATAGCGACCGCGCTCAAGGACCACCCCCTTGCGCACCCCCTATGGTGTCGGGAAAGTGCCACCCCTGCTATGCCCTAGACGACCGGCACGGATGGCGGCCGCGCTCAGGGACCACCACCTGCACACCCCCTACTTAAGTGCCACTCCTACTATGCCCTGGACGACAAGCACGGATAGCGGCCGCGATCAGGGACCACCCCTTGCGCACCCGCTGTGGTGTCGGGGAAGTGCCATCCTTGCTATGCCCTGGGCGACAGGCACGGATAGCGGCCACGCTCAGGGGCCACCCCTTGCGCACCCCCTGTGGTGTCGGGAAAGTGCAACTCCTGCTATGCCCTGGACGACCGGCACGGATAGCGGCCGCGCTCAGGCACCACCCCCTGCGCACCCCCTATGGTGTCGGGAAAGTGCCACTCCTGATATGCCTTGGACGACCGGCACGGGTAGCAGCCGCGTTCAGGGACCATGCCGTTCGCACCCCGTATGGTGTCGGGAAATTGCCACACTTGCATGCGCGCGGTTGCATGTAGACGCGTGTCTGATGCCCGTGCAGTGCATGTGTTGCGTGTGGGTGAAGGGAAGAAGGACGAGGAGGAAGAGAAAGGGGGAGGCGGGAGGTGGTGAGGGAGACGCGGGTGCGACGTGGGTGGGAAGAAAACCCCAACCCCACGAAACATTTTGGGAAAGACTTCTCAGAAAGCACCCGGCCTTTTGAGAAGCCCCGCCGCCTTCTGAAAAGGCCTTCTCCTCACTTCCCCCCCTCGCTCGCCGCCAAATAAGGTCACGTGTCGAGGTGACGTCCAACGCTCTCCTCGTGATTGTGTTCGGCCTGCTGGTCCTTGCCTCCGCCGTGTCGACCGCGACGCGGGCCGTGCACCTCGCCGAGGGCACGGAGGGCGACCGGCGGAGGAGCTGGGTCTGGCCAGAGGAGCCGCCACGAAGTGGCAGACGCAGACACCCCCCCGTCGGCGGCAGGCGAGGGAGGGAATGCGCTCGAAAGGCGGCAGTACGAGGGATCGATCGACGCTGCGTCGGCGCTCTCTCCTCGATTGCCCGACGCCAGCGCACACCAATGCGCTCTAGAGGTGGCATTACCCGGCCGCGAGCGGGGCGGGGAAGTTTGGGCGCTGCGTAATGGGGGGGTCATAAATGGGGGGGCGGCGAGGGTGGTCCGAAAAGGTACCCAAACGGTACCTAAACGAGCCCCCTGGGGCTCCAGAGGGGCCCGAAAGGGCACGAAAGGGGACCGTTTCTGACCCCCCCATTTATGACCCCCCCACTAAGCCACGCCCAAGAAGTAAAAAGGAGGCGGCCTTCTCAGAAGGCTCGGAAGTCCTCTGGCCTTCTGAGAAGGCCAGAGGGTTTGTGAGAAGCCCCGCCGCTTGCTGAGAGGTCCTTCTCCTTCTCACTTCCCCCCTCGCTCGCCGCCGACCCCAGTTGATTGGCTCTGGGTCTCATTGGGAGGGTGGCGGTGTCCAAACCTCGGTAGCAAATCATGGGAGCCTTGCGAACCGTCGCCATTCTGTCTTTAGCGCCGAGTAGCGTCGATTAGTGCCTGGGAGTCGATGGGATAGCGTCGACTAGCATCGATTGAGCGTCGACTAGCCCCGATTAAGCGTAGACGAGCAGACAAAATGGTATGGGAGGCTCCCATGCGTTGCCACCGGATATACAAAGACACTCTCCATTTGATTGGTTTGGGGTCTCATTGGGAGGGTGGCGGTGTTTCAATTGCCACTAGGAGCCAGCGAATTGATGCACCACCACCCTCACTCGAAGGCATATGGGAAACTCGTCGGCGGGTGTCTGTGTATATACGGTCTCGGGTCGGGGTTTCGCAGCCCCCCCCGGGACGACGACGCCGACGACGACGACGACGCTGGCGAGGACGACGACGACGCGGACGACGACGACGACGACGACGACGACGACGACGACGACGACGACGACGACGGCGGCGACGGCGGCGGCCGCGGCGACGACGACGACGGCGGCGGCCGCCTCTACCCTCCTCCACGCCACGCCCGCAGGGTCACGACCATTGGGCGGGCGATCCCATTCGCGAGGCCTTGCGACCTTGGTCTCGAGAGGCTCTCGGCGAAAGCAGCGGAACGCCCACCCTTCACCACGCCACGCCCATAGGGCCCACGACCACAGGAGGGAGGGGGGGAGCGATCCCCTTCGCGATGCCTTCGCGAGGATCATGGGCGTATCCATCCAGCGAAGGACGGTGGGTGGGGGGGCTCGATCCCATCTGCATTAAAGGGGGAGGGCCAATCCTCGATCGTCCCATAGTTGTGTGGCGCAGAGGAGGATTCCCTGAGGGACAACTCCTGGGTCGCGCTGGTGACGTTCATGATCCTCTACAACAACCTCATCCCGATCAGCCTGTACGTGACCGCCGACCTGGTGCGCTCCCTGCAGGGCCTCATGATGGAGCTGGACGGCTCCATGTACCACGAGGGGACCGACTCCCACTGCAGCGTGCGCAACTCGAGCCTAAACGAGGACCTGGGGCAGGTGCCGGCGGCGCGCACAAGGGGGGTGGGGGGCGGCGGGCCGGCCTTCAGAGCGCGCAGGGGGTGTCCCGTGAGGGCGTGGGCCGTCCTGGGCAGGCCGGGAGCAGGGAGGGGCTTTCCTGGAAGCTGGGCTTTCCTGGAAGCTTGGCTTTCCCAGAGGGCTCAATTTGTGTTCTGGGAGGGCAGCTTTTCTCGCTTCCTCCCCCTCTTGGCATCGCTCGGACGTGTGCATTTTTTCTCGGCGAGAACCATCGAGGACCACCCCGTACCATCGAGGAACAAAACACGCACGAAGCGTAAAAATGCACATGAAATGGACGTCCGAGCGACGGCAGTCGACCTTGTGCGCGCCGACCGCTAGGTGGAGTTCGTGCTCACCGATAAGACGGGAACGCTGACCGAGAACCACATGCAGTTCAAGGCGGCCTCCATTGGCGGCAGGACCGCGGCGTCACGCCGCTGCTGCCCTCCCATGCTTCTCTCTTGCTCGCTCTCTCTCTCTCTCTCTATCTTGCTCTCTCTCTCTCTCTCTCTCTCTCTCTCTCTCTCTATATATATATAGGTCGGGCCTGTCCCCCTACAGGAGGAAAATTCGAAAATAGTCATAATACTGTTTGGGGACGATTTGTTCATCATGTTTTTTATATGATTATTTTGTGACTTGTGGGAAGGTATTTCTTCCAACATCCGCCTGTAGGAGGACACGCCCGACTTACTCTAGATCTCACCCTATGCTGCCATGCGTCCACATGGGATGGTGAGGATCGGGAGTGAAGTTATGCGTGGCCACCACACTCCTGGTCTCGTCTCCTGGCTTGCGCAAAAGGCGCCCTGAGGCTGCCATCCCTCCGTCCCTCCTCCCGCCTACCTCACACCTTTTCCCGTCTTCCCCCCTCCTCTCTCTTCTCCCCTTCCTTTCTTCCCTTCCCTCTTTTCTCCTCTCAGCTCCTCTTCTCGTCCTGAGCTGGCTTCCTTCTTTCCCCTCCCTCGGGCTTCACCCCCTCCGACGGCTGGCGTCGCCGACGTTCGCAGGAGGAGTGCCACAGCCCCGGCCTCGCTCTCGTCGGGCCGCCGTGGCGTTGCCTGCGGGCGCCCCTCGGCACGACGAGCCGGGGGGGCCGCCCGCGGGATCCTCGCGCGAGCACTGCCGCAGCTGCGTGCGAAGAAGTGGGCAGGGCTCGTGCCCCGATTTGCCTCGTTTGCACCCCGCCGTCGGCAGCAAACTGCTTGGTCCCTGGCGGCCGCCGAGAAAGTGGAGACCGGGCAGGGCGGGTTCGTCTCAAAAGGTGTTGGCGCCTGCTTGCGTGAGCGGTCCCCCCCCTCGCGCACGCCTGCGCGCCAGCCCGGCCTTGGAGGGCGCTCGCGTTCTGAGCTTCGCGAGGACGCGGGCAGAGAGGATTCGTTTCAAGAGGCGTTGGTGCCTACGTGCGGGAGCGGTGTGTTCCCATCCTCACGCATGCCTACGCGCATGCCTGGCCTTGGCAGGCTTTGCTGGAACCGAACAGACTTTGTACTCCGCGTGAGCGTGGGCAAAAATCGTGCCCCCAGTCGCCTCGGATGGTTCCCGCTGTCGCTTGCACGCTGCTCCGTCCCTCGCGGCCGCCGATCTAAAAATAAAGTGGGCAGATCGGATTCGTTTCAAGAGGTCATGGTGCCTGTGTACGTGAGCGGTGGGTTTGCCTCGTCATGTATGCTTACGCGCCTGCTTGGCCTCGGAAGGCTCCTTACAGGAACCGAGCAAGTTTCGCCCTTCGCTTGGAAGTGGGCCAGGAGGCATCGTTTCAAAGGGTTCTTGCGCCTGCGTGCGTGAGCGGTGTGATACCATCCTCACGAATGTCTACGCGCACCCCTGGCCTCGGATGGCTATTGTTGTAACCGGATGAGTTCTAGGCTTCGCGTGAAAACGGACAACGCAAATTCGTTTCAAGAGTTCTCGGTGCTTGAATGCACGTACAGTCGGAATCAACAGCAAGGATGGGTGATTTTTCCCAGTGGTGCCTTTGCATCCTTGCCTCTGCGACCCATCCTTACGTAGAGTTCGCAGGGTTTCGGCATGGGCGTCCAGCGGGCTTGCATCCTTACCGAGCATCTTTACTATCACTATTGATTGTACGTCGCTCGTCGCCGCCTGCCCTTCCACCAGGGATTGACTGGCTTCGATTCGGGCGCATCCGGCGTACGTCCGTCTGCAGTGTATGATGGTGCCTCCGGCTGGCATGCTACGTTAAACAAACCAGGTTTCGCTAAGGATGTTTTTCCCAACCATCCTGTGGTGTTGGGTCCTCGTTTTGAAGAGACGGTGCCCCGCGTTCCTCTCCTCTCCTCTCTCTCCTCTCCTCTCCTCTCCTCTCCTCTCCTCTCCTCCTCTCCTCTTCACCCACCCAGTACACCGTTTCGTGGCTCCATAGGGAGCTCCACCGAAGGCCCCAGTGCCCATGCGTCACCCACCCACGGCACACCCCTCACACGTTTCGTGGCTCCATAGGGAGCTCCACCGAAGGCCCCAGTGCCCGCGCCCGCATGCGTCACCCACACCCATTTCGGCACACCCCTCACACGTTTCGTGGCTCCATAGGGAGCTCCACCGAAGGCCCCAGTGCCCGCGCCCGCATGCGTCACCCACACCCATTTCGGCACACCCCTCACACGTTTCGTGGCTCCATAGGGAGCTCCACCGAAGGCCCCAGTGCCCGCGCCCGCATGCGTCACCCACACCCATTTCGGCACACCCCTCACACGTTTCGTGGCTCCATAGGGAGCTCCACCGAAGGCCCCAGTGCCCGCGCCCGCATGCGTCACCCACACCCATTTCGGCACACCCCTCACACGTTTCGTGGCTCCATAGGGAGCTCCACCGAAGGCCCCAGTGCCCGCGCCCGCATGCGTCACCCACACCCATTTCGGCACACCCCTCACACGTTTCGTGGCTCCATAGGGAGCTCCACCGAAGGCCCCAGTGCCCGCGCCCGCATGCGTCACCCACACCCATTCGGCACACCCCTCACACGTTTCGTGGCTCCATAGGGAACTCCACCGAAGGCCCCAGTGCTGCCGCCCGCGTGCGTCACCCACATCCAATTCGGCACAACCCTCACACGTTTCGTGGCCCCATAGGAGCTCCGCCGAAGGCCCCAGTGCTGCCGCCTGCATGCGTCACCCACACAAAATTCGGCACACCCCTCACACGTTTCGTGGCCCCATAGTAGAAGCTCCGCCGAAGGCCCCAGTGCTGCCGCCCGCATGAGTCACCCACACCCATTTCGGCACACCCCTCACACGTTTCGTGGCCCCATAGGGAGCTCCACCGAAGGCCCCAGTGCTGCCGCCCTCATGCGTCACCCACACCCAAGTCGGCACACCCCTCACACGTTTCGTGGCCCCATAGGGAGCCCCACCGAAGGCCCCAGTGCTGCCGCCCGCATGCGTCACCCACACCCAATTCGGCACACCCCTCACACGTTTCGTGGCCCCATAGGGAGCTCCACCGAAGGCCCCAGTGCTGCCGCCCGCATGCGTCCCGCACACCCAATTCGGCACACCCCTCACACGTTTCGTGGCCCCATAGGGAGCTCCACCGAAGGCCCCAGTGCTGCCGCCCGCATGCGTCCCACACCCAATTCGCACACCCCTTTCGGCACACCCCTCACACGTTTCGTGGCCCCATAGGGAGCTCCACCGAAGGCCCCAGTGCTGCCGCCCGCATGCGTCACGCACACCCAATTCGGCACACCCCTCACACGTTTCGTGGCCCCATAGGGAGCTCCACCGAAGGCCCCAGTGCTGCCGCCCGCATGCGTCACGCACACCCAATTCGGCACACCCCTCACACGTTTCGTGGCCCCATAGGGAGCTCCGCCGAAGGCCCCAGTGCTGCCGCCCGCATGCGTCACGCACACCCAATTCGGCACACCCCTCACACGTTTCGTGGCCCCATAGGGAGCTCCGCCGAAGGCCCCAGTGCTGCCGCCCGCATGCGTCACGCACACCCAATTCGGCACACCCCTCACACGTCACACGTTTCGTGGCCCCATAGGAGCTCCGCCGAAGGCCCCAGTGCTGCCGCCCGCATGCGTCACGCACACCCAATTCGGCACACCCCTCACACGTTTCGTGGCCCCATAGGGAGCTCCGCCGAAGGCCCCAGTGCTGCCGCCCGCATGCGTCACGCACACCCAATTCGGCACACCCCTCACACGTTTCGTGGCCCCATCCACCGAAGGTCCCGGTGGGTGTGCCCGCATGCGTCCCGCACACCCATTTCGGCACACCCCTCACACGTTTCGTGGCCCCATAGGGAGCTCCACCGAAGGCCCCAGTGCTGCCGCCCGCATGCGTCCCGCACACCCATTTCGGCACACCCCTCACGCGCTTCGTGGCCCCATAGGGAGCTCCGCCGAAGGTCCCGGTGGGTGTGCCCGCATGCGTCCCGCACACCCATTTCGGCATGCTCTTCATACGTTTCGTGGCCCCATAGGGAGCTCCACCAAAGGCCCCAGTGGGTGTGCCCGCATGCGTCCCGCATACCCATTTCGGCACACCCCTCACGCGTTTCGTGGCCCCTCACACGTTCCGTGGTCCCATAGGGAGCTCCACCGAAGGCTCCAGTGGGTGTGCCCGCACGCGTCCCGCGCACCCATTTCGGCACACCCCTCACACGTTTCGTGGCCCCATAGGGAGCGCCACCGAAGAAGATATTCACAATTGCGGTATTCACAATTGCATATGGTTGGGTCCTTCGCCAGGATAATTTCTTGTCCCAATCGCCGAAACTCTTCTGAAAGCTATCGAACACCTTCCCAGAAGGGCCCGTTTTTTTCCAGACGGTTTCGGAAGAGTTTCGGTCGTTTTGGGGGAAGCCAGTTCCTCTAATGCGACGTGATCTTGGCACCACATCGCCAGATAAGGAACAAAAGCGTGAGCGGTGGAAGTTACAGGAGGTGGTCGAGCGAGGAGTGCACGAGAGCATTCGTGTCATTGTCATGGCGCCGTGGCCTGGTTGGCTCCGGCTCCAGACAAGAGCAAGACACGTGTAGCACTCCACATGTGCCAGGATACTGGAACAGCAATCTCACAATGCCGATACGCATGCAACTTGGACATCCCATTGCCACACGCGTAATCTCGTACACTTAAGACTATCATTGATGTTGACATTGGTAACCAAGGTATCGTGGGGGGAGGGATGGAGCAGGAAGAGGAGGCGGGCGACGGGGTTCAGCAGGAGAACGTGGAAAGTGCAGCGACGCCTTATGCTCCGGACTGGGGACAGGGTGATGGAGGGGATGAGGGCAGAAGGCATGATCTGTGCGCGGACGGTAGACGGGAGGGAGAAGGCTGGGAAAGGGAACGGAGGGGAGTGTAGGGGATGGCAGGGGAAGGAAAGGGAGGACTTGAGCGACAGGGAGGGACGAACGACGCGGTTGTGGCTCGCAGCGGTGACGGAGACGGCGACGGTGATGGAGGCGATGGCCGCGTCGGCAGTCGCGAGGTCGACATGGGCGGTCATGCGTTCGTTCATGTGGTTGTAGCGGCAGCGGCCATCATTAGAAGCCACCGTTCTGGAAAGAAGCAAATTATTGGCTTTCGCGGGTGTATCGGCCTTGAGGCCCAGCTTCAAGAACTGAGATGTGCAAACAGCTTGTGATGAAGCATAAAAACTTACAAGCATAACGCATTGTTTATGCTTCAACGACGCCAGGAAAAAAGGTTGGGACTTCGGGGGTCGGGGGTGCGAAGTTATGCACACGTCAAGAAGTCGATGTTTTCTGGGAGGGCGGAAGAGTGGGTTGAGGAGGCGGGGCAAGGGGCGGAACTGGGGAGCGGCAGACAAGTTGATACAGCGCGTCGTCTCCGGCGGGCCCCGGAGAGGGGCGGCGTGGACGGAGACGCCAGTGGAGGACTCGTAAGGAGGCCAAGAAGAAACATGCCACGCGGGAGGATGAGTAGGAGGCGGAGGACGGCAATAGGCGCGTCGCCCTGTCCCTCGTCGATCCAATTCCCTGGCCAGTATGTTTTGATGGCTCGCGGAGCTTCGGGCAGTCAATGCACCAGGGGGCATCCCCCCCCAGACGTCTGTTGTCTTCATTTGTTTTTCATACGGGGTCCCCAGAAGTCCTGACCCCTCCTGCTCCCCCTATCCGTCTCCTTCTGCTCCTCCCTCCCCCCTTGTTCCCCCCCGCGCGCGCCCTCTCCTCCTTCCTTCCCCCATTCTACTCCTCCTCTCGCCGCTCCTGCTCCCAAGGGGCCAGCTTGCCGTGTTTCGACGACGCTTGGGGCCGAACTCGGCCCTGCGGAGGCCTGAAACGGTGAAATATAACTGTTTCGATGTTTTCGTTCGAGGCGTTGAACTTGGCATCGGTCGGACGTGTGCATTTTGTCTCGGCGAGAACACCATCGAGGACCATCCTGGACCATCGAGCCAAAAAAAAAACACGCAGAACACCGAAACATGCATGGGGAATGGACGTCCGAGCGATGCCAGGTGGACGCCTTGGGCCAAGGGGGCCAGCAACCGAGGGCGCGCACGGAGCAGAATCTCGGGGCGGGTCCAGCCAACGAGGAGACCCCCAGAGGCCCAGCAGGGCTCCCAAACCCGCGGAGCCTTGATTTTCGACGTGGGCATGGCCTCCTCCTCCTCCTCCTCCTTTTCCTCCTCCTCTTTCTCCTCCTCCTCCTCCTCCTCCTCCTCCTCCTCCTCCTCCGCCTCCTCCTCCTCCTCCTCCTCCTCCTCCTCCTCCTCCTCCTCCTCCTGCTCTCAAGCCTTGATGTGTCGAGTCCGTTTTGGGGATAGGCCCGTCACACACACACACACGTACGCGTACAGCGCGCGGACTGAATTCCAGTGGATTTCATTCAGGTGTACCCGCGGCTTGATGGGCGCCCAGAAGGGCGGCGACAGTGCGTGTGCAAGTTTCCATGGGAGGTGTTCCGAAGGATGGCAAAGCGCGTCAGAGGTCATCTTCCAGGAGTCGGCAACAATCATACACAACGTGTCCGCATTGTCTGGTTCTTGTGTATTTCTTAGCACGGCTGGGAAGCAGGGGTGGGAAACATGCGCGTTTTTTTGGCATTTTGTGGAGCGAGCTCGGCAAGGCCCACCAGTAGCAGCAACGCAGTGTATCCTTTTTTTTGGCCGACGTGGTGGCAGGACGAGACCCTGCAGGAGTTACACGGTCCATTCTCAAACCAGGACCGCAGCCAGGCCCAGGAGCTGCAAGCGGACTGGTGGCGGCCCTCCTGCCACAGTATACCAAGGCCAAGGAAGACAACGACATCACCAAGCAGCAGGCACTGCTCGCGGTCTACCCGGAGCTTGGAGAGATCTGGAATGCCGCCACCAGTTCAGTCCCCCGAGGAGCCGCTGGCAGCGGCCGCGCAGAAGCTTCGACACCTGCAGACTCAACAGGGCAAAATCAAAGCGCAGCTGGTGGCGGCTGCCCAGTCCCACAAGGAGCTCCTTCACCGCCTCAGTGGGAACTTGGAGCAACGCTTTGCAGCGCAGGAGGAGGTGGAAAGCCCGGTGGGGAAAACCACTGTGGGAGTAGCTACCGCGGCAGATCCGGAGAAGCCCCAGGAGGGTACCGAGTTCCCAGAGCTGGGCGCAGAAGACTTGGAGACGCTGGGAGCTGAAGGAAAGCGAGAGTATGAAGCGGCTAAGAATGCAGCAGCTGAGGCGTCGGCGACGCTCAAGCAGGCGGCGGCAGCAGGCCAACCTGCCAAACAAGCAGCTACGCGACTTCGGAAGCTACACAAGGAAGTCAACACCAAACGGAAGAAGAGCAGCGACGCAACGGCCCAGGCTACCAGTGCAGGCCCTGGGAACATCACCAAGGATGACGAGCAGGGCGTCCGAGCTTAGAACCTGGGCGTCGCATATCCTGAAGCCGTCAAGTAGAACATTGAGGCAATAGCCCAGTTCAAGGTCAAGGCCAAGGCGCGGGCGGCTACAGCGGCAGCAGCCAGCGGCGGCGGAGGCGCATCAGCTGGGCCAGCCTGCGGGCAACTCCAGCGGACGCGTCGCCAAGCCCAGAAGTGCAGGTGCATCTGTGGACCGCGCGCTACACGTGCTGTTCGCGAACGTCACTCACTTCGGCGAGACGGTGCGGCATTATGCGCAGCGCGCCAGCTTTGACATTATCGGCATTGCGGAACACCACTTTGCCCCGGAACGCCACGGAGATCGAGGCCATGGAATTGCGGCGCCAGGGGTGACATTCGCAGCGCACGTGGACTCCAGCTACACCTACGGGGTGGAGCACGACTGGTACACATGGGGGGGGGGGCTTGCTAGATGGCGCGAGCAGGACCTCTTACTTCAGCACGCCTGCCTGATGCGACGGGGGAGAGCGCGTTTCAGAAGGACCAGAAGGACATACCAGTTATGAACTGGAGACCCAAGGGAGTCGCAATAGCGCTGATCTGCATCTGCTTAGACTCGGGCAAGGGCTTCGAGAATGAGAATGCGAGCAGGCTGCCCCAGCTGACGCGCGTGGTCAAGTCCTTCGCCGTGCCGCGGGTCGCGTTTGGCGATTGGAACAACACGCCGGACCAGTTCGCAAATATCAGGTGGCTGCAAGCTCTCGGAGGCGAGCTCCTGCTTCCAGCGGGCAGCCCATTTGCGTGCACTTTGGGCAGAGGGCGGCTCATCGACTACGGAGCCTGCACACGAAATTTCTTCCCGTTGGTCAGGTATTTCAAAGTGGTGCGAGACGTGCCGTGGAGTCCGCGCCTCGGACTCGATCTGGCGATGGCCGCCAGGCCTGCCGCGATCAGTATCCAGGCGCCACGACAACCAATCCAGTTGCAGATCCCAACGCAGCAGATCAGTGTCAGGAAGGGCCCCAAACGACCTTCGCGTGATCGGGGGCCCCACGCGAACCCGACCCAGCCAGAGGACGACCTCGTCACCAGCGCAAGCGTTGGCCCGCACGACATCCACCGACACCAGGTGGAGGAGGAGTACCAGAAGGAGGTCAAAAAAGCATGGCGACAAATGACATGTGGATGGAGGCAGTGCACCAGCATTGTGACGAACCAGTGGAAAGGGCGGCCGCAGTTACCCAGCTTGGAACTACCGACGGGGCCCAGAGGGGGGCAGAAATATTTGGACGGCACTTCGGTCAGTGGACCAGGGCCGCCGAGACGTCGCTGGCGATTCTACAACCCTGACCTCCAGCGTCTTGAGTTTTTCAAGACGCCTGATTTGTCTTGAGTTTTTTGTTTCATTAGATATCGAAGAACTTTTAAGCTTGTCTCGAGTTTTGTTTGGTGACCATCGTCCGTCTTGAGTTTTTCTATGTCTTGAGTTTTGTTTAGACGTCTTGAGTTTTGTTTGGACGCCTCGAGTCTTGTTTTTGGTTCAGCGAAGACAATTGTGGGCCGCACCCTGATGACACGTCGCTCACGTATCGGCTGGTATTCAATGTGCAACGCGCGCGCACGCGCGCTTCGCGATGTAATAGTTGTCCTATAACCCGCATTCATATAGCTCCCTCTTCTGATCTGCGAAATGATTTTTTATTGGGTTTTCCCGATTGGGCTTCTGAGTTCACATCGCGCAAACTCTATAGAGCTTAACTAAAGCGCCGCGACGCAGATGACCGACGCGCGCGCGCTCCGCTGTAATGCGTTTCTTATAATCCACATTCATATAATTCCGCCTTCTGATCTGAGAATGAAATTTTACATTGGGTTTGCCCGATTGGGTTTCTGAGCTAACAGCGCCCAAACTCTATATAACTTAACTACAGCGCCGCGATGCAGATGACCGACGCGCGCGCGCGCGCGCTCCGCTGTAACGTGTTCCTTATAATCCACATTCATATACATCCGTCTTCTGATCTGAGAATGAAATTTTACATTGGGTTTTCCCGATTGGGTTTCTGAGTTAACATCGCCCAAACTCTGTAGAACTTCGTTAAAGCGCCGTGATGCAGATGACCGACGCGCGCGCGCTCTGCTAAAATGGGGTTCTCATATTCCTCATTCATATATTCCCTCTTCTGATGTGAAAATGAAATTTTACATTGGGTTTTCCCGATTGGGTTTTCGAGTAAACATCGCCCAAACTCTATAGAACTCAACTAAAGCGCGGCGATGCAGATGACCGACGCGCGCGCGCGCGCGTTCCGCTGTAATGTGTTTCTTATTAGTCCACATTCATATAATGCCCTCTTCTGATCTGAGAATGAATGTTTACATTGGGTTTTCCCGATTGGGTTTTCGGGTTAACATCGCCCAAACTCGATAGAACTTAATTAAAGCGCCGCGATGCAGATGACCGACGCGCGCGCGCGCGCTCCGCTGTAACGTGTTCCATATAATCAACATTCATAAAAATCCGTCTTCTGATCTGAGAATGAAATTTTACATTGGGTTTTACCGATTGGGTTTCTGAGTTAACATCGCCCAAACTCTATAGAACTTCGTTAAAGCGCCGTGATGCAGATGACCGACGCGCGCGCGCTGTGCTGAATTTCTCATATTCCACATTCATATAATTCCCTCTTCTGATCTGAGAATGAAATTTTACATTGGGTTTTACCGATTGGGTTTCTGAGTTAACATCGCCCAAACTCTATAGAACTTCGTTAAAGCGCCGTGATGCAGATGACCGACGCGCGCGCGCGCGCGTACGCGCGCGCATGCGCGCGCTTCGCGATGTAATATATTTTTCCTATATTTCAGATTGAATCATTCCGTCTTCTGATCTGAGAATGAACTTTTGCATTGGGTTTTCCCGATGGAGTTTTTGAGCTAACATCGCCCACGCTCTATAGAATGTAATGAAAGCGCCGCGATGCAGATGACCGACACGCGCGCGCGCTCTGCTGTAAAGGGATTCTTTTATTTAACATTCATATAGTTCCCTCTCCTGATCTGAGAATGAAGTTTTACATTGGGTTTTCCCGATTGAGTTTTCGAGTTAACATCGCTTTAACTCTCTAGACCCCTACATCTGTTACTGGCCATCTAAAGTTTACATTCGTTTGTTCACCGCGTGTGGTCTGAGAACGATTTGGTTTTTCCCAATGGGTTTTCGAGCTAACACCGTTCATCTTGAAATGTGTGAATGATAATATAATGTTTGAGTTCCTCGCATTGAGCATGGGTTCTGATCCCCCCCTCCCCCCAGATAATTCAGATCTGACGCGCCGATGAACCCAAGGGGTCGGCGGATTTCCATTTCAGATCTCACGCGCCGATGAACCCAAGAGGTCTGCGTATTCTTGCTGATTCCAACCCTGCCCCGTCGAAGGGGGGCAATGTAGAGCGGGGGCGGGCGAGGCGGGAGGGGAGGAGAAGGAGGACAACGACGACAACGGCAAGGGAAAGGAAAGGATGGGGAGGAGGAGGAGGGATGGGGGTGGGATGATGACAAGGAGGGGAGGTGGGAGGGAGGAGGAGGGAGGAGGAGGAGAGGAGGAGGAGGAGGAGGAGAGGAGGAGAGGAGGAGGAGGGGGGAGGAGGAGGAGGAGAGGAGGAGGAGGAGGAGGAGGAGGAGGAGGAGAGGAGGAGGAGGAGGAGGAGGAGGAGGAGGAGGAGGAGAAGGTGGAGGAGGTTGACGCGTTGCCCGCGCGAACGCGGCTCCAATACGCGGCGCCCGCCGCGCGGCGCCGCGGGGCCCGCCTGCAGCGCGCCGCCAGCGCGGCGCAGCAGCCGCGGCCCCGGTTGCAGGCGCGGGGGCAGGAGGGGGATGAGGAACGGGAGGGGGAGGACGAGAGAAACCACGGACACCTGCTTGGTAGATCATAGGAGCCAGAGCAGGATGATAAGAAGGGTGCTGGAAGGGCCTCGAGGAGAGAGAACCAGGAGCCAGAGCAGGATGATAAGGACGACGGCGAGAGGAGAAGGAGGAGGAGGAGAACGCCGAGGAGGAGGAAGAGGCGGGAGGAGGAGGAGGAGGAACAGGAGAAGGAGAATGAGGAGGATGGAAAAGCGAGGGCGGATAGGATTAGGAGGAGAAAGGGCTAGGTTGGAGAGTTCGGAACCGCAAGAGGAAGGGAGTGAAGAGCATGGGAAGGAGACGGTGGGCACGCGAGGCCATGCCACCCAAGACCAGCCCAGACTTCAGATTCGAGAAGACGGCGCGGGTGAGCCCCGAGCTGCTTGGACAGGCTGGGCTCCCCTGCGATTGCTCCTCTCCTTTCTCTTCTCCAGTATGTATCTTGCCGCCTCGCCTCCTCATCCATACTGTCCAGCCTCATCCCCCTCGCCGTCCTACTCGTCCGCCGCCTCCTCCTCCTCCTACTACTCCTCCTCCTCCTGATGATTCTCATCCTCCTCATCTTCCTCATCCTCCTCATCCTTCTCATCCTCGTCATCATCTTTACCATGATCCTCACCCTCCTCATCCTCATCCTAAGCCGTCCCTTCTCGTCGTCATCGCCGCCGCAGTCGCCCGCGTCGCCCCGTCGAGGCCTTGCAGGACTTCGACGACGACCACCCGAAGCTTGAAGGCATGGGCGGATCGGGCGCGCGCAGGGTGGATCGGAGGATGGGAGGATGTGAAGGCGTAGGATCGGATTGGAGGGTACGAATGCGAGGGTGGGAAGATGAGGGCACGGATGCGAGAATAGGAGGATGGGAGGGTACGGATGCGAGGATGGTAAGATGAGGATGGGACCTCGACG